CATTCTTAAGAGCTGTTTCACAATAGAAAACAACGATCACGTGTCAGTAGAGTCAGAAGCATCACCTTCTCGACCAGAGAGCCCAGAAATTGTGGAAGAAAATAATGGGGCCTTCTACCATCGGGGGGGCAAAGCCGAGAGTGTGGCTGAATATATGTATAAAATTCGTAATGATAGTGTAAAGCCAAGACAATTTCTCGGTACAAATACTAAAGATGGAATAGAAGCTATATTTAGTAAACGGCAAGGACATTCATTACACGAATTTATTGATGGTGATGACCCACTTCGGCCTTTTATAGATTTTGATTTATCTAAAGAAAAATTTGATAAAATTAAACCCAAGCTTAAGCTTACAGCTAAAGAAATACGGGATTTACTTTATTGTGCCTTTAAAGAAGTGTGTCTAGAAATATATCCAGATTGGAATCGCAAAACATTAACTATTGCTAGTAGTAGTGACAAGAAAAAAATATCTCTCCATATATCAACTTTTGGTCTCCGACTCAAAAATATTGCTAAAGTTGCAGTATTTACTGAGCTTGTTCGCAAAAAGCTTCCAATAGATTTACAAGAAAAAGATATTGTTGATAATATTGCAAATAAATGTTCATTCTCTTTGCGAATACTCGGAACTCCAAAATTTATTAAAGATACTAATGAACATGTCCGAGTGAAGAAAGCAATTTTTCCAAAGGATAGTTCTGTCTTTGATTTTATGCTTTGCCCACCTAATGACGAGGTGCCAATTATAGATAGTCCTATCTTGGATATTTTGAAAGAAAAAACATCAATCGAAAAAAGAAAAGCACCAGAAAAAAATAAAATCTATGCTAGGACAATCGGATCTGAAGTAGAATATATAAAAAAATTACTTGAGGAGTATAAAATCGAAGGTTTTGAAGTTTTATATTCTTCACCGACACTCCCAAATGTATTCCCCCTAAATTGCATAGCAAAATCTCAATGCCCACTCTGTAATCGGGAGCACACTAGTGATAATGCATATGTAATCCGAAATAAGAAAACTTATTATTATTACTGCCATCGAGCAGATCAAAATACGGCAACAGGTACAAGGAAACCATCATTAAAACTTTCTTTAAAAATATCGATCTTGAAACGGGAAAACAGTCTTCCACCCCCAGAAAAAATAGAACGATCCAGAATCTCAGATCCAAATAACCACTTTGTATGGGGTGATTTAATTCGTATGTGCACTTCTAAGAAAAATTTTACTCAGAATGAAGTATATAATGCAATCTAGGCTACACTTGCTTGTGTGGTAAAAGATAAATGAACATGGATTCTTAAACACAGAAAACCAGATGGTAGATTATACTTTGGTATAGCACCTACTCTAGATTTCGGTAAAATAACTATTAATATAGTAAAACTTGGAGGAGAACCAATAAAATTGATCTCTTTGATAGATTGTATATATGACAGCAAGGCAATTATTTATGATGATATCGATTTCTTACCATATCCACCTAATATCGAACAACCAAAAAACGAATTCTTTAATCTTTTCTTAGGATTCAAGGCTAAACCAGCACCTCGAATTAATTACGATCTTGTGAACCCAATTATATAGCATATAGAAAATATCTGGTGTGATGGGAGTAAAGTTCTTTCTACATACATTCTCAAATGGTTAGCATTTTTAGTTCAGTATCTAGCAATAATTCTAGGTACAATTCTTGTTTTGCGTTCACCGCCACGATGTGGGAAAAATATTATTACTGATTTTATTCGAAAAAGTTTATTCGGTCCAGAGCTTGTATATTTAACGTCAGATTTAGGCAAAATTTTGAGAAAATTCAACAGTAGTATTCAAGGATGTAAACTTATAATTATGAATGAAGCGGGAATGTTAAGTGGAGAATGGCATAAGTCAAATGATCACTTAAAATCTCTAATTACAGAAGATTACGTCTCAATTAAGCATAAAGGTCTCAAAAATCAAGAATGTGGCCATTTTCCTGGATTTATAGTATTAAGTAATCATGATACCCCAATTCGTGTTGAGCAAGGAGATGGTCGTATTGTATATTTAGATGTTTCACCTCGATGTAAAGGTAATTTTAAATATTTTGGTCAGTTGGGAAAAATTCTCAACCATCCTGATACACCTGGATCTTTTATGAGCTATTTACTTAATCAAGATCTTTCAAATTGGAATCCACAAGAAAATATTCCTACCACTAAAATGAAAACAGAGACAATGCGTGAGCATCTCCCAAATCCCATCAAATTCATAATTGATCATATTTCGGTATGGTCAGAAGATCAAATTGAAAAACCAGGTTGTGCTATGTTATATCAGAAGTATTGTACATGGTGTGAAGCTAATGGTGAAAAGCCATTCAGTAATAATAATTTTGGGAAAAAAATCCCACAGGTTAACATTGAACGAAAACGTGCTGGTGGTGGAAAAAGAGAATGGCAGTATATCCTCGATCATTCTAAAATTGTGGCTTAGTTATGTGAATCGGTAGGTGATATCGAGGAATTTTCTGACACACCTCAAGCTGAGGCATCCTCCAACGCATCCACAAATATCTCTGTATTTAACATACCTGAAATTGTAGACCCAAAGGGTCATTGCCTTGCAATAAATCCTCAACCAGCAAAAAATATAACCGAGTCGTCGACCACCGATTATATCGAAAAAGGTAAGAATGTATCACCTGCTCCGTCCATTACTAACATGACCCAGGATCTCTTCGATTCTATAACAAATGAAAGTTCAGTTGCTTTGTCATCAGTGTCTACTGATATATCTCTGCCTCCTAAGATCATACACGCAGAACCTGTGGACGATAAATCCAAACCAGTTTCTGAGATCATTAAACTAGCGAATGATAAAGTTGAACCCGAGATTTCTCCTGACTTACTTGCAAATGACGAACTAAAAAACAGCAATAAAGAATCCAACACCCAATCGAAAACATACCCACTTGAATATATACCTCGGGAAGAAAGGGAGGTTCGCCTCCGTCAAAAAGCTATTGAGCTTGGTGAAGATCCTAACAAATTCGTTACCATTACTGAAAAAGATAAGCTCAATTCTATAGCATTCCGTGATAGAATGCAGACTGACGCGAGAATGTGTAGTTATGCAAAGGAGGCCGAAGAAGATCCCAGTGAATATATGGATATGACAGTGCGAGAAAGATTAATAAGTGAAGAAATAATCCGTCATTCTCTCGAGGAAGATAGAATCACCTCATCATGGCTGGATACTGATGAGGAATGGAAAAAAACAGTGAGTATACTCCAGGCAAATGGTATACTATGGTAAGTTTATATGCATATAAAATAGATGCAAAGCATCCTCACTTCGTGAGAGGAGTGAATAAGGTAAATTTTGCAGGTAAGAGCTTTGATATAGGGGAATTTTTTGCTTCTACAAACTAGTTAATATAAAAATTTTCAGTTAAAAAATATTATGCAAACTCTGTGTTATATATACCCATACGTAGCCATATATTCTCTTTTTCCGAGCATGGGAGAAAAAAGCATAATTAATTTCAATTTAGAAAAATATTTTTATAGTGTATATAACCTAAAGAATTACTCATAACCTATTCGACCTACTATTAGATCATGTCAGCCATCGCAACTAAAATCGTTGAAAAATACAACCTTACCTCTAAAACGAGTGTGTCTAAACTTAGTCAATACACCTCAGAGTTTCTCGAGAATCTCACAGATGATAGGAAAAGAAATCAAGCACGAAGACGTCTTCGGGATGGATTCAAATTTAGCAATGAACAGGTGAGTATATTGATACCCAACCAGAGAAGTGGTAAAACTAAAGTCATAAATCTCGCAACTTCCAATAGTTACCAAATTCCCTATCCAACTTTACAAAATTCAGAAGAAACTATCGGAGAAATGGCACATCGAATTATGCGAGATAATCTCAGTGCTAGTGTTGTAAAAGCTGAAGCTCGTGCTTTAGCCAATTCAGCGCCAAACGCCAATGCTGGCTCATCACGTCTTTCCCGACTCCGAAGAGAACTAAAAAATCTTGGCACTTCATTCCAAATAATCGAAGCTACGAAATTTCCTGATATTACAAAAGATGCCAATGAAATTCAGAGAGATCGATGTAAATTTGTCGAGGCATTCGAGAGAATTGATTATCCAGACCACTTTACATTAGAATCAGTTAAGAAAAGATTAGATAAGTATGATATTTCTATCCTGCCCGATTTACAAGCTCTCGCAGATGTTATGATAATGCTTTCTATACGCCCCGCTGAACTTACAACTTTACGCATTACAGACTCTGGAGTGGTAGGTTATGCGAAGAACCGAGGCCAGCCAGATATACCTAGAAAATTTAGATCTATGGAGAAGAACCAAGAACGAGCTAAAGGACTACTCACTTGGGTACAGAATGCTATTTCTTCTGGTCGAATGGGTGATACAGGTAAGCCAGGAGTTAAATGGTTCAATAGATTCTTAAAAGACTATGATTTAATTCCTAAATATTTACGTAAATTAGGAGCTGTATATGCTGTAGTAATGCATGGAGCGCAAAATTTAGCACATGCTATGACAATCGCTGGAGAAGCACTTCGCCATAGTGTTGACAACTATACTTCTCCTGTGCAAAATTACGTTGTAGTGAATTATCGGAAAAAAGGGCAGACTCCAGAGCAAGCAAGACCATTCCGCCTTTATGATGATAACTAATCACACTTCTTTGCTTCGAAAACTTGTGTACGTATTTCATTCTCATCGATGCAAGAATATTCAGAGCCTGATTCAGTTGAGGTTGAAGATGAGGAATAATTATGAATGATCTTTTTTCTGCGCTCAGTAATTGTATCAGAGAGATTGGCGGAATTAATCCTAATCATTCAGCATGGTTTACAAATAATTTTATTTAGTAGCGGAGAATGGGTAATTAGGCGTTTAACCTCTGGCAAATTATTGGTTATTTTTCATATATAATTTTCTGATCCATACGAACTGTCAGCATATTAGGGAAAGAATTCATTTTTATATAATCTTTGATGGAACTCGCTTCGTGGTGTTTGGAATTTCATATGTGACGATAAGGATTCTCTACCTATATATTTTATATCGCGTGGAACAAACTCAGTAATAACATAATTAGTGTTATATTCCGGATTTGTAGGCTGATAATTAATTTTTTCTTTAAGACCATACATACGTACCATCAAACCGAGTCTTTCAGCTGTACCTCTCATATCCCTCTCCAATTCTATAATTAAATTTTGATAATGTTCATCTTTAATCTTGTCTTCGCAGTATTGTACAATATCTTCGAGATTTGCATAAGTTGACCATAAATCCTGCACTAAATAAACAAGTGATGTCCGGAGATCATTAAGTTCTTTTTCTGGGTCCATTTCAAGTGTTGAATCTCGCTTTATCATGATCTTTGGATTAAGTTTGCTCAATGCATCTTTAGTAATATTTGTACCTACTACAGAAAGAAATTCCAAGTTTGAACAGTATTGTACAATTTCATCAATAACTTTATCAGTAACAAGACGGCAACACCTGATATCAAGATACTTTAATTTTTTACATGAACGTACAATATTACAGATAGACGCATCAGAAGCATTACAGGTACCAATATCAAGATGTTCGAGCTTCGGGCAAGAGTTAGCAATATTACAGATAGATGAATCAGTAATAAATCTACACTGATCTAGTTCTAGGGATTTTAAATTATGAATACGTTGTAACAATTTATTAACCGAATTATCAGTAATATTATGACAACCCTTTAAAGAAAGGTGGTAAAGATTAGAACATGAGCAGACTATCGCAGATATTGTTTGATCGGAAATTGGTTTATACCGTTTTAATCCACCAATACACAGAAGCTCTAATTTACATGCTTTTACTATTTTATATACGAAATCGTCATTGATGTTCCCGCAAAAGCCAATATCGAGATTGCGTAGTTTTTGGCAAGATTGAGCAATTTTATATATGGAGTGACCAGTTATATCTTGGTTACCGCAGACATTGAGAGATTCTAAGTTGGGATATGATCGGGCAATTTCTATAAGTGACGCATCAGTAAAACTTCTACTTTGTTCAAAATTTAGACTGGTTATATTTGGATATGAGCGTAATATACTTAGAATTTTGTTATCCGAGAGTTTTGGATAATCTGTAATTTTGAGACTTCTTAGGCTTGAACTATAAGATGTTTTCTGTTTCTTACATGCAGACTCTAAAAATTTTTCCAAAAGAGCGATATTTTCACTGGAGGCAGATGCCCTATCTCCCACGAACTCGAGGTGAGTAACTTCATCGCTAGCATCAATTTCGTTTTCTTTTATTTCAGATGGCATTTTTGCAAGTTATAATTATAATAATATACATTCAAAGAAGAAAAATATTAATTGTTAACTTTTTTCGGCAAAAGCCTGGCATTCTCTTGTTTCAATAGATCTAGTTCGGATTTGGTATTTCCCATTGTTTATATAAGATACGGATTTATTTAAATTTTGAAAATAAAATCATCCTGACCAATGGTCAGGAACTCGTAGATCACTTTTGCCAAGAAAAATTCTCGATATCAATAAAATCCCGAAATACATATGTAAAATGAACGATTAAATCTATACGAAATTAAGCCACCAGGGCTTGCTTTATTGATGAGGTAAAAATATTATATATAACTTATCATGAAAATAACCAAAGCAAAATGGGATCACAGAAAATTAATCATCGTGCTTGATGATCTTATATATAGCCACAAAGTGAAGCAAATCACATCACAATTATAATGGGTCTCAGGGGAGCGATGTTATGTGTAAATCCAATATAAGCCAATCTTAGTCTGGGCCACGATCTATTAAATCACATGCGGTAGCGATATTATGCGTGTCTTGGATGAATCGATCGATCGCCATAAAATAATACCCGAACTTATTATGTTTTTGCTCAAACTTTCTAGCATATTCTCAGTAGCATATACGTAGTAGACTCTTTAGGTTATTGCTCAGCAATACTTGGCCTATATATCGAAGTTGCTATAGAAGTTTCTATAATATAAGGAATGATCTGTTAATGGCCCATTAATAAAATGAAATAAATTTGTAAATGATCGATAATAAGTAACCATGCTGTTAAAGTGACAAAATGGGTGATGGTTATCGCTGTAATTGTTATTATTTACCGAATCTACTAGTTTACATATACATCACACTTTACCTCTATTACCCAGACCACGTATTATCGTGTCTTTTAGATCTGGGACCTCTATCCTCAAATGAATTTTCATCTTTATTCTTTGATGACGAATCAATGTTTTTTCCAGCAAGTTCGAGCCTCTACAAGTAAAATTACTGAAATAGAAATTAAAACACAAAATTTTGTATAAAAGAAGCTATTTTTCTCTCATCGCAACCCCTTCTACAAAATTTTTTGAAAAAATAAAGAATCGCGATATAATTAATAAAAGTTTATAAAAGCAAATCCTTTTAAAATAAAAATACTTAGCTCTAATTAAATCTCCACGGATAATTCTCAAACTTGATCTTCTTTGCATAAATGTATTCATTCAACAACACCTTGGGTAATATGCCTTTTATAGTTCTTCCTGCTTTTTTTTTATTTCTCACAATGATATTCCCTGAAAATAACTACTTATATGTAGGGTCATCATTATATGGTTCTTTTTGTGTGATATTAGAAATAAAATCGCCAACGAATCGAACTCTTGTGATACCAAGATCAACACTACCATTGCTAAAGAAATCATCAAGATCAGAGCTGAAATTAATAATGATCTTACTGCAAAAATAAATTCCCGTGATGCTAATTATGCAATGGAAGCACAGAATATCATTACCATGATTAATGATGCGTATGAGAAATATAACGAAGTCAAACAGGTTCTAGAAACCTACCATAATAATTTTAATCAAATTGTTAACGAATTCGAAATAATCAGAAGAACTATTACAACACTCCAAGACGAAATCAATCAACGATACCTTATCCAAAGCATGAACAGAAGAGGGTCTGATCAACAAAGTGAGGCATCAGCATCAATACGATCATCAAATTCTACAGGATCTGATCGAATTCAATATTCAAATATTAGCTCAACCATCTGGACCCACTTTAAAGAAGTATTTGATCAAGAAAGGAATGCAAGAAATCTTACCTTTGATGAAATGTGTAACAGGATAGAGATATGCATCCAAGACCTTGGTGGTAAAATTAAAACAGCAACAATTAAAAATTTTTATAATAATAGCACTAGTTGTAAAAGTTCTACACTTAATGATATAGGTAGATGGTTAGATAGCATGGAGTAGCGGGAAGGAACTCTCATTTTATGGGTTAGGGCTCGAGATGTTCCTCCCTTGAAACACCGCTACTCCAATATTCATTTTTACTTAACTTGCCCGAGCCTATATATCTATAAAATTAATAAAGTTATATTTGTGATTTGATTTTTAAATGCGTTCATTCACTAAGAATTTATTTACTTCAACAGGATTAGTAACGGGTAAAAATGAATTACATACAATGTTACATAACGGTAACAAGATCGATGAGAAAAATTTTGAATGTACGTACAGAATAAATTAGAAATTCCTTATGAGGCTTACCGTTATGCATAATTTAATGACAAACACAAGTGCCACATATTACAGGTTTGTATAATAAAAAATTTAGCCACATATATATTATTTTTTCTATTAATATAACAATGAATAATATACTTACAAATCAAAAAAGTCGAAATTACTTCGAAAAGTGGCACATCTTTAGAGGCTGGAAGCACGGGTGTAAGGTTTGTGACGAATACAATCATCATTCACACCTATATTGCAAAACCTGCAAAAAAGTAGCAGAGGGAATTTATAAGCGATGTGAATGTGATAATTTCAATAGAAATAACGATAGCTTAAAATTTGTACGTACGTAAAGCCTTATTTTCGTTATCTGTTATCTTTTAAAATCCCAAATTCGGTCAATCACCTCATGACACATACATCATATTTATTCGTGTAACATTTTTTACGAATTTTAAATTTTGTTCGATGTACCTGTTGCATCTAAAGTAGCGATTTATCTAAAGTAGCTACTTTAGATATATAAAGTAGCGCCTGACTAAAATTAG